AGGAAAAGTAACTTTCGTTATCATGGAATTATAACAAAACCTGCCAATTCAATATAAATGGAAAAAAAATATTATATGGAATTCAACGAAAATGAAAATTTGCTTGATAATTCAACTACGCTTGTTGGAGAACAATAAAAACACTACACTCAACAAGCCACCAATAAAACTCAACTGCCTAACCTATAACCAAAGTCTTCTTTTAATTTGTTTTTAAAAAAAAGCGCTTGACAAACTTGCCCCACATGCCGAAGTTGCCCCGGTCTCCCCTATATTGTAGTAGTTTGATCTGTTGTTCTGGCGATCTGGATTCGAATCCGAACCGATTCAGAAATTTTTATGAGTGATTTGGCCCGGAGTCGTCCCTTACCATCTTCAATAAGGTTTATAAGGGTCAGGACCCTTATAAACCTTATTGAAGATAGTAAAGGACGGAACAGGATATAAGTAGTTCCATACTGGGCCTTCTTTACATGCCATTGCAGGTTCGGTATGACTCGCAATGAGAATAGCTAGGCCCACGATAGCACAAAGTATGTCGGGCCCTATACCTCACTAATCACAACGAATGAGGGACGAGCTCCTCATTCTGGACCTTTGTTTCTGTACGAGAAGTAGAAATTATTATAATTAGGCCCACTATTTCACGTATAAGTATAAGAAATAAATCAGACAACATTAATAAACTTACGATGTAAAATTTTCGATACAATAATTCTTAACTGACAACAACTTCGTTCGTTAATTAGTATTGTTTAAAGTTATTAATAACAGCTGTAAAATTAGTAATTATCACTACAATAATTAACCAATTAATGATAAGCTATAATAAATACTTTCATAAGTTATATAACTAGTATTTTTTTAAATATTTAAGTGTATAATCAATCATATAACTCTAGAATTTATAGGATAATCCAGAAGATAACTATCGGTACCGTGTGATTTATTATAATTAAACGAGAAGATATACAAATATTACTTAAATATTATTCGAGTCGACATTTGAAACAATGGGCTAAATATATTTGCTCTCAATTCTAATGAGTTTTACTTTATGGAAAGCAGCATAGAAGGGAGTTGACTGGCTTGCATTTTCTTCAAATGTGAATCTTCTGTGAGATTTCTTTCCATGAAAATGTCGCGAGTAAAGAATGTACCATATCAATCCAAAGACTTTGTGAGAAATATTTGCTAATTTAAGATACGTTTTTCAAAATACAAGAGGTAAAATTGAAGAAGATCAAGATTGAAGTTGAGTAGAAACATTGAACATTCTTCTTCGCTATGTCATGGACTAGTCTTGAGATTCCTCCGAGTGCTCCTACTACTGGCTGCTCTCTTGGTAGATATGAAAGTTATAATGTTTATGTCGTGGAGAATTAGTTTAAGCAGGAATTTCTTGGTCTGGCCTTAAGATGCTTTCCTGTTACGTATCTCTGTCGTGTTATTCAGTAAATTGAAATGTTTCGTTGTATGGACAACTGGCATTAACAAATGATAACTAGGATCTTTGATTGATCAACTTTATTTTTGATATGTCTGTTCGAGTGATGGCAGTAATCCTCCTGAATTACATGCATCACTCGGACATACTGGAACATTTTACTGTAAATGCTGATTTGAGTGATACTTGAGTAAAATTTGTATACCCTTTGACAGGGACGAGATATCATCCTATCGTTCTGAGGGACATGGGTTTTGGTACCCATCTTTCACCACCCGTCCATCCCCATTGTAAGCCTGACCGAATCCATGATATATATGGAAGAAAGGCCCTGTTAATAGTTTTCACGAGGCATAAAGAGTAAAACTATAACTCCCTCTATAAGTACTGTCTGAATTATCCTTCTTATATTACAATACAAATTATTATAATTATATCCTTACCCGCATGAATAGAACCCAGTCTAGTACTGTAAATACTATTCAGAGTAGCTGTATAGTCACTACTTCGAGCCGACTGCCATCTTTTTCTTTTAGTACATCTCATGGCATTTAAAAATCCTTGCCTGAATTTCTTGTGCATAAAGCAATAAGTAATTGGGTTGCAGCAACACGAACAGAATGATAATAAATGAATAATGGAGACACCAACGAAACCAATACTCGAATAGACCGTCTTTGGATCAAACAGGGACCATGTGTGCATGATGTAGAGGGGTGTCCAGCAAATGAAAAACTCGACGACTACAACAAAGAGCATTTTTACAACCCTCTTTTTCGCTTCTTGATTTTTTACGCTGCTACCTCTTACTAGCCAATTATTACTTTGTTTCGGGCGTGATAATTGGTTGATTGTTGTGACGTTATTCTCCGAATGCACACCATTGCATTGTGTATCGTAAATGTTCTTAGTATCAGGGAAGTATTGCTTCTTAGTATTTTTCTCTGCGTATTTAGGATCTGAAAAATAGAGTTTAATTATCTTTATGTGACATTATAATATTATAGAATGGTAAATAAGTCAAATATTTACTTGATTTTTTGGGGTATTCGACTCGAATCCCTATCCAAAGTGTTTTGCTAATCAAAACGTATGTTGTAGTCATGATAATCAGTGGGATGAGCAACAGTTCGACACCCAGGTAGATATTAAATGCTCTTTCTGACTCAATGGATGGCCATTCTTCTCGGCATTTATATTTACCTATAATTAAATTATTAAAAAATATAATAAAAATCTTCGGGCGCGACGCAACTACATCGGCGCGTCACGTCGCGTCGCGCCAGCATTGTAAAATTCCTTAATAATTCAAAATTAATTTAATTCCTAAGAAAATCATTAAACATTTTAAAACGTATCTATAATTATAAAGTGTTAAGCAATAATTGATTAATGCTGCAAAATTTATGTATATATATTTCGCGAGTTGCGACGCGAACTTACGCGACGCGACGCGCCCTTGATGCGATAACATTTAAGATTCCTGATTAGAATTTAAATTAAAATCTAAAATTCTAAATTAATTTTTTAATATAAAGAATGGTATTACATTATTTTAATTTTCAGCATTAAATTAAATTAAATTATTAAATATATCATTTATGAGCGTTTTTATCATACTGAAATACGTAATGCCTCTTAAAAATGAAAATAAAATAGTTAATTAACATTTATTTAACAATATTATATCAAAATTAATAAAAATAATAATAATAATTTAAAAGATTTTAAATATAACTAACGAAAAACATTATTAAATGTAACTCTGTAGATCGCGATCTACATGTTGATAAATACAATAACGCAGATAAATAGGAAAAAAATGGATTAAAATATAAAAATTTAAATAATTATAAATAATTTAAATTGCATTATTATTTTAATTAAATAGAAAATCTTCCTGAATTTAAATTTTCTTTACATTTTAAGATTAAATAGTGCTATTTACTGTTAGATTGTCTCCACTCATTCCAGTACCTTTCAACCGAATAAATGGTAAAAACCTACTTCTAGAATGGAATAGAAAGGATAAGAGTGAGTTAGAAAGAGAAAAGTATTCAATAGAGAGTGTTGAGTGTGTTATTCTGCGTAAAATCATCAAGTCTGGCTCTTATCTGGGCCAAGAAATGAAAGAATCTCTCCGAAAATGGCAATGGTTTTCACAGTATTAGAATACTCTAGAGAGGTAAAATAACAAATACCTCGTTGCTATAGAAGACTTTTTTCTATGCTTCAGGCTAATATGTCTGCTATCGATATCGAGTAAGAAAAATATTCTTGTATTCATTTAAACCCTTCAGGAAGATGACATTGATGAAAAATGAATCCATACTTGGTTATAAATTGATTCCCTCAACACAATTTTTCTAAGTCATAAATGAAGAATATTGCTATTTATCTACGTTTAGTTTTAATTAATTGATTTATTTATTTACTTTTTAATTTTCTGTTTACAAATCTTACCATAAAACTCTAAATAAAATTCAAATTTTTAATTTCTATAAATATCATCAGATGGCAGCAGTGGATTAGCGGAAATTAAAGGAAAAAAAAAAATTATTCAGATCGTTTATTGGTCACTTTTATAACTACGTTTTTAACGTCATCAAGTAAATAACGTCATTTATAAGTTTATAACGTCATCAAGTGTATTATAGTCATTTATTACGTCAATCGAATCATCATTTATAAGTATGAGATCTTCACAATTTTTTTTTAAATCTAAATGTTGATGATTTATTATCAAAATATATAAAATAAAATAAATATTTTGAAAAATAATAATAAATATAGTTTTTTTTTTAGTCTTTCATTTATTATTTTATTAAAAATTAAGTATATAACAAATAAATTAAATTTTAAATAAATTTTAAGTAAATTTTTAAAAGAAAATTAATTAAAAAATACAGCGTAACTTTCCCGACAAAAATACTGAAGTTATGTGTGTCGCCATCTGTTGAGATTTTTTTTCAAACTTTTACTAAAATTAATTATTATAAAATGGAAAAGGCTTAATTTTCATAATAAAGATGAGTTTTAAAAACATTATAAATGCTAATAACGTATAAAATCATCATTAAGTTTGATCCCACTCAAGATATAACACATGATTCCCCCTCTATCTCCCCACTTTCTCGACCTTTAACCTCCAAAATTTAACAGCATCAATGACCCAAATATAGAAATCTCACTGCAAACTTTCAGAAAATTTCGACAAAAGACATAGGAGTTATTAAGCTTGAAAAAGAATGAACAAAATCGTTTCTCCCCCCACACAATAACATTTATACATACGGTAAAAATCCCCGAATTTTTTTGCAAAATTTTGAGGAGGGGCCATTTTACGACAGATCTCTCTCTCTTATATATAACAGCTTGAAAAGTAAAAATATAAGATGTTAAATATTAAAATATTCTCTTAATTTAATTAGTAAAAAATACTACTATTTTACTTTATAAATTCCAATGTAGAAAACTATTAAAACGTGTAAAATCTATAAGAAATACGAGGCAATTGGGGGTGGGAGGTATTGCTGTGTATTAAGAATTAAATAAGGAAACATCTTAAAAAGTTATCTCATTAAAGGATAGAAAATTGGTAGAGTCTGCTATATAAACTGGATGTGGAGCTCATTCAGGAGACAATTAAGTGGAGTGTTTAAAAGAAATAATTGCTTTAAATGTGTGTGTGATCTTAAGTGTTAAAATTATACAAAATTTGTTTTGGTTCAAGTCATCAAATTAATTCTTTAAATAATATAAAACAGTCTACGAGACGGGTGGTTTTTTTTAACGTGTTAAAATAAATAAAAGTAAGAAAGAAAATTAAGATAATTAAAGTGCTTCTTGTTAAAGTAAAAATTATCTGTTTAAAAAAAGAAGAAGAAATTAAAAGATAAGTAACCATAAAATTACTTTGTATTAAAGTTTGTTTCAGTTGAAAATTTTTTAGGATCGATAATAATTAACTTTTCTTTATGTATAAAACGACCCTCCCCCCAAATACTTTTACATTTTGGGATTCGGGGGAGACCTTGAAATGTCTAGAAATAAAGAAAAAATTCGGGTCATATTCTGTGTATATGTGTGAGGGGGTCACAATTCTGTTCAGTCATTTTAAAGCTTAATAACTCCTGTGTCTTTTGTCGAAATTTTCTGAAATTTTGCAGGGAAGTTTGGGTATTAGTGATATTGATGCTAATAAATTTTGGTGGTTAAAGGTCGAGGGGGTGAGGAGATAATGGGGGGTCGTTTGTCGTATCTTCAATAGGCGTAGAGATAAGCGAGGTATTCGACTAATCACTTAATAAAAGACATAATTTTAAAAAATATATGCCATCATTTTATACATTAAATAAGCTAAAATTATTCGTTGAAATAATATTTTTATCGTTAATTTTCATTATTTTATTTTAAATGGAATTCACATAAAAC